TTATCCCTGTTTCAGCAACTCGTAATACACTGGACCTTTCCTGTTCCACCACAAACAAAGCAGTACTTTTCGTTGATGGATACTTGGTTTTGGAACTGTTGCTGATGATGTTCCTGGTTTGCAGTAAGATTTTTTTCTTTTAATATTCTCGTAAAGAATCCACTTTTCATCTTCAGTAACCAGCCTGTCCAAAAACGGCTCCACATTGTGTCTAATCAGATGTGATGAACATATTCTTACACGATCAGACAAATTCTTTTCCGTTAATTCATGGGGAACCCAAACACTTTGCTTTAACACAAACCCAAGAGATTTAATGTGATCTCCAACAGTTGTATGATGAATGCCAAACTCTTCTGCAATTTCTCGACTTGTTAAATGTGGATTATTTTCCAACATGGATCGCAAAACATCATTATCGATCTTGGATGGTCGTCCAGATCGAAACACTTTCTTTGAGGCTCAGGTCCCCGGAACGAAATTTGCTAAACCATCTTTGACAAGTACGAACATTTACAATATCTTTTCCAAATACCGCACATAAATTTTTACATGCAACAGATGCGTTGCTTCCTTTTTGGAATTCATATAAAATGCAGTGTCTTAAATGCACTTTATCTACCGACATGTTTTTCCCTTTAAATATTAAAAGTAAATGATGAACAGTAAAAAAGGGCACCTTTTATATTATACAGCAGCTAAAAAAACAAACAAAAATCCGATTGACTCACTAGCCAGATGTTTTTTTTATTTACAAGAAAAATCACGTGTCTATTTAAAATAGGACAGAACTTTCCCTCCAACCCGATAGTAATGCTTTGGGAATTATATATATAAGTCATATGTAATTGGGAAATTTTTGTGTTTTCAAGTGGTACCATAATTAATTTACCTATCAGCACAGCTAAGGTGCACTACACGGATGGTCTGGGATTTTCTTAAAACTCATCTAAAAAACCTGAAAAAGTCAGGAAATTTCATTCTCCTGTTTGAGTGACAACCATGTCACAGAGGGTGATCATCCAGAATGGACATCATCTTTGAGGCTGAAATTTCCACACTTAAGCTTCTTAAACTGCCTTTGAGCTGTGTCATCAGAACACTAATAAGATGAAAATTTAACTTTTGGATTCTCTGTTCTGAACATTATGCTGAAAAAATCGTGCTGCAACCCATATTAGAGGTACACGGTATAAGCAGAAAAGACCATATTTAAACATATGCTTCAGTTAAGGTCACTTCTTATCAATAGTAATAAAATAATTTTCAGAAAGCATACTTCAATTTGAAAAATCTCAGAACTTCTCAGATAATCCAATAAATATCGTATACTTGAATTCACATTTTCTTATGGAAATTCAGTCACGAGCGCATTTAGTTAACACTGTTAATATATATATATATTTGATCACCCAGTATCAAAAGCAAACTTCACTAAGTAGTTTACATGCTATATTCAGAGTGACCATAAATTTAGTTAAATAATAAACTACTATAAAATGCTCTAAATAAATAAATGTGTAAAACTTAAATTACAACAGTATTGTTTAAAGTATTTTTATTTCACCTGTGCTGAATGATATGTGTTTAACTGCGCAACCTGCTTGAAATTTTTCAAACTTCTGTGCCACGTTCAAATAATACTGAAATTTGACTTTCAGATACGAGGCATATTCGAAAACTAAGTACCGTTTTGAAAAAAAAAAAAAAAAAAGTAGTAAAACATTTTTCGAATTCAATTTTATTTTTACATGAAAATACATGTCTTAAACTATTTTTCAACATAGTTTCCGCCAATGATCAAACACTTGTCATAGCGGGTGACCAGTTTTTGTATACCATCGTCAAAGAAACTTCCTGCCAGTTTCGATAACCACGACTCTACAGCATGTTTCATGTCATCGTCAGATCCAAAGCGCTTGCCACCAAGCTCGCGCTTCATGTGCAGGAACAAGTGATAGTCGGACGGCGCCAAGTCTGGGCTGTACGGCGGGTGATCGAACTGCTCCCAATGAAACTATCGATTTAACGATTGAGTGACACCAGCAGTATGGGGCCGAGCATTGTCATGGAGCAACACAATTCCTTTACTGAGCATTCCTCTTCGTTTGTTTTGAATGGCACGCCTTAGTTTTGTTAAAGTCTCACAATATCGTGCCACATTAATGGTTTCACCTCTGGGAAGAAATTCAGTAAAACGCCTTTCCTATCCCAGAAGACAGTGCACATGATTTTTTGTGATAACATTGTCACTTTGAACTTTTGTTTTTTCGGAGAATGAGTGTATCTCCACTCCATTGTTGTTATATCGATTGTTGTTTCGATTCTGGTGTGAAATGACACACCCAAGTTTCATCACCTGTCACAATTTGGTTTAAAAAGTTTTCTCCCTCATCACTGTACCGCGTGGGAAATGTCAGGGCACTACCAAGTCGCTTTGTTTTGTGAACATCAGTGAGCATTTTTGGAACCCATCGGGAACACAGTTTGCGATAATTCAAGTGGTCAGACACAATGTCGAACAAAACGGTACGTGAAATTTGTGGAAATGCCTCTGAACGAGTTGTCATTGTGAAGCGTCTGTTCTCATGAATTGCTTCATCAACTTTCCTTACCAAATCATCGGTGACAACAGAAGGCTGACCACTCCGAGCCTCGGGGTGGACATTTGTTCGACCTGCATTAAACATTCTTACCCATTTTCACACCATTCCATCACTTATTGCATATTCACCGTAATCTTTTGCCACTTGACGATAAATTTCGGCCGGATTAACATTCCTCGAGTTCAAAAATTTAATCACGGCACGAATCTCACAGTCAGCGGGAGAACTAATTGTCTTAAACATTTTGAATGTGCACAGCAAACTGAAAACACAATATAGAGCAACTAAAATGGGGACAATTGAAAGTCAGTGAACAAGAAAGACTAGTGCGCATGCGCGGGATGCCTACCACTGCGCTGCGACGGCACTAGAATGAAACAGTATTTAGTTTCCGAATACGCTACGTACATATGCCAAATTTTCCAAAAATTCCTGATAAATATTGTACTCTCATCGTAAATATATATGGACTTATAATGTGATGAAAACTTAGTCGGTAAAAGAATGGATTAAAATTTAATTTCCCAAAATAAATTGGCCTTCTAAAACTAAATAAAATAGATAAGTAAAATAGTAAAAAAAAATTTGTGTAACAAAATAAATAATGATCTGCCTTCTTAAAATACTGCGCCAATAAAACATGTTGAATAATTGAAATTTTGCAAGCTTGGAAAGCTAAAATCCTAAAAAGATTTCGGAAAATTCTGGACGTCACATATTAAAAGACAACAAGTCTACAAGCAACGAGTACAAAGAAAGAGGAGAGATGGAAACTAAACGCAACAAGTACTTCTTGCCATTCAATAGCGGGGAGGCAATTTTATGGCTTATCCATCACACTAAGAAGGGAAAGCAAACATACTTGCCCTAGGCTGAGGCCATCTTAGAGAGATTTCAGAAAACGAAAGAATAATCATTTTGATTTTAGTATTTTAAATAAAATAATTATTATATATCATTGCATATTTCATCTTATATATATATATATATACATTTAGATTGTTGCATTAAGTGGGGGAGGGTAACATGTTAAGCACTATAGGCAAAAGGAGAGGTGCTTGAAATTTTTTGTTATTGATAGACTGTTTAAGATTAACTATTATATTTTTGCTGTATAATGAGGAAGCTAAGTTCTGTAATGTGACTTGATTTTAAATTTAATCTCTGTAATATAATATGTAATGCTAAAAATGGATCTTCATGATTGGCTTTTCATATCTGGTGGGTGGTGGTAGTGAGATCTAATTCTCTTATGTGTCTGTCCTCATTTTAATCACGATGACAATCCTAATACTAAAAAATTGACGTTCTATAGGTAATTACTAAACTTTTTACAGGCATTAACATTATTATTTACTGAATAATTTATAGTAAACACCACAAAGAAGTGATTCTTTATTATGAATATAACATGTGAAGCAGCCATGTTTTTAAATTTTTATAGTTTTGTCTTCTAGTATTCTTTACTTTTATAAAAATGGTACAATATTTTTTGCTGCAGCTATTAAGTCTTTTAGATTTTCAAAGTATACAAATGTTTGGATGACTGACTTTTTTTTTTTTTTTTTTTTTTTTGCATCCTATTTTGTTTTTATGTGAAATTTTTATAATGCCATTTTGATTTTAACACAGTTTTAAAGGCAGGGAAGTCTTGTTTCCTTTAATTCAGTTTGATTTAATATGGTTCAAAAAGCAGCTTTCAAAAAATCTTCATTTGCATTTTCTTAAGGTATAGTATAAAAAAATAAGAACTTACATTGTTCAAAAATAATACTGGTGGTCATTTTTATGAAGTATTTATTTTAAGTTAATTCTCTAAAAATAGCTTCCCTACCTTCTTTTTGTGTGAGGGTGTGTGAAAAATGTATTAATTTGGAATAATGGGGTGAAAATTTGACAGAAATTAGCAATGCATAAAATTTAATTAGTAGAATCAATATTTTTTTATATTTAAAAATAATTTTATATTACTTTTATATTGTAATATATTATTTTCCTTATAAGTGATCACCTGTTTTTTGTATGCTTAGATGCTTTCATAAGTTTATCAATTAACTGTAAAAGTTTTGATATGGTTTGTTTGAAAAGTTATTTTTTATACTTCGTTTTTCATGTCTTTCGTGTCTGTTTTTCATTTTTTTTAATGTACTGTACTTCTTTTTTAAATTACCTGTGGTGTAAAAATGATATTCATTGTACTTCGTGTTTTATGGTACTTTTATAAATGATCAGATACATATGAAAGAAATTGCATTCATTGGGTTAAAAAAAATCTATAAATAATGTCCAGCAGAAAAGTATTGCAAATTAGTTGTGTTATGCATGCCTTCAATTTGATTTTCTAAACTTTTGTGTAAAGTAAATAAAACTTAATCATCTTAAAAATTATAATAGATCCATGGATTAGAACTGCATGAGGCAATGATGGATGGTGATGATGGATTAGTGAGGATTAGTGAAGAATGATGGATTAGTCAGGAGTAGTGAAGAATGATGGATTAATGAAGAAATGTTAAAAATTTGCATTATTTCAGACAAAAAAGAATGTAAACAGTGTCATTCCATCACAAATTTCCACTTAATTAGTAGTAATAAAATTAATGAAATTAGGATTATACAGTTGATTCTTGTTATACAAACTTATTTTCTAAAGAAAAAGGATGTTATTATGAATGGTCAAATGGAAATGGACTTAATATACTCTCATCTGTTGTGGACTTATTCCATTAGTCATTGTAATGGAGCAGTTGTTATAATGAGCATCAATTGTATTTATTATTTCTATTATTATAGTTTTGCTTAAATTTTCAAATTTTAAATATTGTTTGAATGGTGGAAGGTAGGGACCTAAGGGAAAAAAAAAAATTGTATTCTTCCTGTATAATTCGTTTGAATAGAGTACTGGTCAGTAGTTTGTCCTAAGGTATTTAATTGTAATTTATACAGTTTATTGCTGATCCATCTCCAAACAATATTTCAATATGAAGCCATTTTATCAAAATTGAAAATTGATCTGAAAGGTGCAATTAAATCAATACTCAGGTTTGTCAAGAATAATGAATTTAAGTGTGTGTCCTGTTTCCTAATGCTTGATGGTAGTTCACCTTTGTTGAAATTTATATATTCATTCACTTTAGTTTTCATATAGGATTGAAAGTCTACTGGCTGATTCTTCATTGGTATAAATGGATACTGATGTGGCCATGCTTTTGCCACAAAAATGACTAAAGAAACAGTCATATTATGAAACAGTCATAAAATGAATAGAGAAACGGACTATTATAAGGTCATAGTTTCATAAGTTTCGTTAAGTAATAACAAGACACAAAATGATGTGTACATATTTGAAACAGTACAACCACAACCAGCTGAAAGCTGAAATGTGTTCTGTATTTTAAAAACTTCAACTAAAGTAAAAATAAATTATTTTATTAGCTTGCAAAAAGCACTATTTAATACTTTTTATTGCTGATGTGTGTAGCAATTAGCATTTTTATTGTTCATATGTAAAGTATGGATCCAGTTTAATGGTTAACTGAAGTTGCATTGCAAATTAAATGTTGCATTCACTAAATTAATAATAAATCACTAAACATTGCATTTTCATTAAATATCAGCTTCCATTTGAACATTAATTCCTGTACTCTTTTACCATGCATATTATGGATATTTATTTTAAGATTAATTTTAAACTGATCACAAACATAATTGGTAAGGACATATGTAACATGAAATGAACGCCTGGCGACACCTTTTCAGCTGTGTTACATAGTCCCCCCCCAAGAGTACTATCATGTAGATATTAAACAAAGTTATATTACTAAATTAGGCATTACATAGAAAAGTTATAAAAGAAATTATTTAATTATTTTAAATTATTAGGAATTTATTAATTAGAAGGGGTTCTAAATAATGTGAAGAAGAATAATGAATTTGGTCATCTGTCAAAGATTAAATAAAAGATTAGATTACATTTTTCACTCTGGGACACGTTTCATATTTACTGAGGTTTGATTATTTTGCTGATAATTTGTAATGAAAATAAAAGTATCAAGAATTTATTCCTGAAAAATATTTTCTCTCTTGAAGCTTTTAAAAAAAAGTGTCCTTTTTTAAAGCTATGAAAAAAAAAAAAATATGGACATTTTTACAAGTAAATAACAGTGCTAATTGTGTATTCTAACAGAAATTCATATTAAGAGTATTTGAATAAAAGTTTTTCTCAACCTCGTGATTATTTTTTATAACAGCAGCATTTAGTTACATGAAATTGTTTTTATTAATGTGAACAAATATATTCTTATGTAGGATTTTTCAGTAAGAAATATTGTATTAAAAATTAATACAGTACAAAGTAATTTTAGAGTTATGATCAAGAAAATACATCTTACACATGTCTTTTTGGGAAGACAGAAGTATGGGGGCCAAACCCTTTTTCAACTTAAGGAGATCCTGGAACCCGGGGTATAACATTCTTTCTGGGATCCCTACTTCCCACTTTCCTTGTTTTTATTACAAAAACTGAAATATGAGGAGACATATAATTTAGGCATTTCTTAAAACCAGGACCACAAACTGCGAAGCTTACATTTTTATCTGTTAAATTTTAATTTTCATGTAGGTCTTATTTCATTTGCAGTTTACATATAGGTATTTTCAGTTAATAAATATATTTACTATATTACAAGAAAACTCCTGGGAGTAATTATTTATTACTTTTTACAGATTTTGCTAAATTAATTAACTTTTAAGAAACAGTGGAACTAATACTGATAAAAGTTTTAACCTTTTGTGTGCCAGAAGTACTCATTCTTCAAGTGAGCCTGTATTTGATTACTTTATTCTTAATTCATTGTAACTGCAAAAAATATTCTTTTAGCTGCTACTGGTGGATGAGAGGGGCTAATGCTGCTTTGTTAATAATATTAAATTCGAGAAAATTATTCTCTTACAGCACTAACCTCTGAATTCTTTAAGTGCTTAACATATAATGCTTTTTTACAGTGCTCAATAGGTACCTTTTTCCATCAGGGTCTTAGTGGCCATTAAGATTTTGAAAATATAAAATAAATGATGTTATATTTGCTGGCACAAGCTAACCAAAGCTAAAGCAAGTGAAGTATTCCATACTGTATTTGGTTTATCTAAGGCTGCCCGATAATTTTAAATGGTCATATTCCAGAATTGAGCGTCATTAAACTTTTTATTAAGCAGATTTTTAATATTATTCATTAATGTCATTAAACATGTTTTTAATATAAAATCTTTCAAATTTTTTTATTTGAGAACTTAAGAATTCAACCTTAACAAGTCAGTATTTCACTCTTAACTATCTTATCTTTATCTAGAATGTCGGTCTAATCTAAACTCATTTAAGAAGAGCTTTCACTGTTGTCCACAGTTATATATTTTCTATATCTAAAAACTGAACATTGTCAGCTGGTGTTATATATAAAAAGTCAAGATTTCATGATGATTTTCATTTTATTTTCTATTGGAAGTTAGGAAATGGACATATTCAGTCAAAAGTAGTACAGTACAAAGTCCGTAATCTGGACTCATCGAGACTTTGGTGCCTCCGGATTAGGGGTTTTTCCAGATTATAGATCATCAGTTTAACTCTGGTAAGATGGCATACAGAAATTATGCAATTAAAATATGAAACTTTAATTTATGAAATAAAGAGCAATTATGATTTAAAGGGTATAAAAATTTACAAAAAAGAAGCTTAATATTTATTTGTTTACTTTATTAAACATTTCTTTCAATGTAAGTTGTTTAAGTTGCTTTGTTTTTTGGTTTTTTTTTTTTTTTTTTTTTGGTGTGTGTGTGTGTTAATACTTTTTCTTTAATTCTATAAACAGACATAATTTCTTGTTCAGTTACAAAGTTCCTCTGCTCAAGTCCTGTAACTGCTGTGTTGAGAATACCGACTAACTTGTCAATTGAAATGTTTTCGTTTTCAATAACCTCTCTGTCACTATCGGAAGTGGCATTTTCTGGATCTAGAATGATACTACAGATTTCTCTGTCCGTTAATTGGTTGATGACTGGGGCATTGTCGTTGCAATGAAAGATTTCTGTTATATCATCTTCACTTATTACCACTTTTCCACATTTCGTTACAAAATCCAATAACTGGAAAATTTCACTTTTAGTTTGTGATGTCCGTAAAACCTTCAAATTTGTGGTTATCATCTTCATCGTCCTCACCATGAAATATGGTAACTGGCCATAAGTTATGCATCTTTTAACGTATCTGGAGACACATCCTCCCACGATCTTGTGATGCTCCACACAGCAGGTTTTATGCTAAAAAATTTCAAAAAGTCTTGCCATTGTTCAAGAAATTTGCATTTCAGCATGTGATCTATGCCCATATCCATAGGCTGAATGATAGACATACAATTTGGAGGGAAGAATAATACGGATGCATTATCTTTCACTAAAGCTTTTAAGTGAAGTATGTGCTGAACAGTTGTCAACAATCAGGACATTTTTTAAGTCATCATGTAAACCAACCGAATTCAAATGTCACCGATCCTCGGGTATAAAATGATTTTCAAACCAATCATTCATCAACGCTTGTGTCATCCATGCTCTTTGATTTGCGCGAAATATAACGGGGAAAATCATTACTCCACTAAATGCTCAAGGTAGTGCATGCTTTCCGATTACGAAAAGTTTGCATTTGTGCATTCCTGCAGCATTTTTTAAAATTTGGTTAACCAACCTGTCGAATATGTGCATTCAATGTTTAAGTTCATTTCTTCATTAAATATTTTGGCTTGAGCCATTAGCCTTGGACCCGTCAATGGGACATCCTCGATGCTACACTGTCTGACCTATTCAATCATCACTTTGTCATGATCTTCACTTTTACCATAACGGACCCTTTTTCTGTTATTTATTGCAAGTGGGGTGTCTGAATTCACAAAAAATTCAGAAAGTTCCTTTTTCTTTTTGCTTATATCATATACAGTTGACTTTCCAGTGCTGTACTCCTCGCATAATTTTGAGACAGATATGCCTTTATCCATTATTTGCAGCAATTCCACTTTTTGTTTCATGGACATTGAAACATGCTTTCGCTTTATAGATCCTTTGCCAGCTCCAGAATTGGAAACTCTTTTTGACATAATGGAAAGTTCCAGTTTAATTTTTATAAAATTGCTGTAACAGTCTGCAAAAAATAATAAGCCGGATCCAATTAGAAGATTAAGAAACTGAATGCCATTAACTGAAATGCCTTAGAATCAGTAAAGATAACTTTAGCCTAGCTTATACTGTCCGTTATACTTAAACGTGCATGCATAAAGCATACAAAAAAAAGTTTGTGGCTTTTTCCTGATAATAGATCATTCTGGATAATGGATGTCTGGATTATGGACTTTGTACTGTATAATAAATTTAGAGCTAGGGATTTTGTAGTGCAGTTAACTGATTCAGCATGTTAAATATTACCATCTGCTGTACTCAGGGTGTGTTTGTTAATTCGTATGTCTATCTATCTTGTGTTATTTTTATTTTTGTTACTTGAAAGGAAGTACAAGATTTGATTGTATACATACTATAACAGTAAAAAAATTAGAAAGAGTAATAGATTCTAATACAGTATTAAAAGTCGTCACCATAGCACAGTGTTGTGATTTAACCTTCATTTACAAAGATTTATGGCAGGGATTCCCAATCCTATGCTTGCAGGTATCATGGTGCCCAACGAACATTTAACGTGTGCCCGCTGCTGTGCAATCGTAATAAAAATGTTTGCTTTCGATAAATTTCGATAAGTGAAAGTTTTTTTCATTTTTAATGAAACAGAAATTGTGTCCAACACAGATACCAGCACAAAGCAAAATGTGACCGATTTCTCTCTCTCTCTCTCTCTTTTTTTTTTTTTTTTTTTTTTTTTTTTTTTTTTTTTTTTTTTTTTTTATGTGCATGTATTGTTAACTCTGTCCAACTATAAATTCACCTTGAAAAAGTAAATTCTTAAAAAAATGCTGAGATTTTAATCTAAATCTGAGGTTTTCTTCTCAAAATCATTTTATAATTTACTTTTTAAGGAAATTCACAGTTTTCCATTAATTGAAAAAAATTAAAGAAATCGTGTTCTCAAATTATGATGAAGGAACGCCTAATTGTATTGAAATAAAATATTTGTTCAAATGTACTGTAAACATGTAATAAACTTAATTCTGCTACTTTTGTTTAACCACTTAATTGTGCTACTTTTGTTTAACCACTTGTGCTAAAGAGATGTGCCACGCACATAGAGATGCTTTTGTCTCAAACCGTGCACAAAAATGAAAATAATGTGGTGTACACGTCACCTAACAACGAGATTGTGTATTTCTCGAGTTACATCTCTGAATTGCACTTGCAGACGCGGGCCCACCAGCAGCCGAGCGGTAAAGTCGCTGAACACTGGTAGTTCGGTCCGAG